CTCTGTCTCAAATAGGTTAAAAGGGGCTGGGCATGAAGCTCTGTGGTGAAGCACTTGTCTAGTCTGAGTGAGGCTCTGGGTCTAATCCCCAGTCCTGAAAAGAAAACTTTACCAGCTTTATGGAAGAATCATTTGTTACCTTCTAATTTTATGCATCAGAAATCCACGTGTAGAGCTCAGTGTGATGGTGCATAATGTAATGCTAGCCAAGGGCTGCCCACAGCACCCAAACTCACCCTACAAATGGAACAAATAGATCCCAAGGGATAGCAATTCATTAGCACTAAGCATCTTGTTAGTGTGAGGATTCTGAGCACCTTTGCTATTCAGAATGTGTGGTTGAGGGCAGGTAGGCAATTATGGGTAGTGAGGCCACAGGATCAACGGCTGTATGTGAGTTTGCTCAAGCACTCAGGGTAATTTGGAATTCACCCATGTGAGTTAATTTCAGGTTAGCCATTGGTTACAATTCAGGAGCAGCAGCATCCTTGTAACTCAGTTTTCCAAGCTCTAAAGTGAGACAGTAAAATAATAGTGTTCAATGAAATTGTGGTCAGGATTAATTGTGTTTAAAGAGAATAGCTCTGTGCATGGCACAATGAGCCAAAAATCAACTATTACTAATAAAAATTAATTGGAAGGGGACCGGGGAGATGGCTCAGTGGAATAAGCGCTTCCCTGGCAAGTGCAATAACCTGAGTTCAATCCCCAGTTCAGCAAAAAAAAAAAAAAAAAATTAATTGGAAAAAATCCCAGCCCTCAGTAAGCTGAGTCAGGTAGATTGTTGTGAGTTCAAAGCAAGCCTGGGTTACATAGTGGGTTCAAGGGCAGCCTGAACTGCATAGAAACACCCTGTCTCAAAACACAAAACAAAAACAAAAACAAAAAAAAAAAGCAATTCACCAGATATTGTTTGTTTTTAGGAAGAAGGGTTCATACAAGAGTGAATTTAGCAGGAGGAAGAGCTCACTGGGATCACTTTAAGGCTATCACAAGAGATGTAAACTAAGAATTATAAATCAAGGAGGTAATATATTTACTGGCTCTCTTGCAATTCAGAGACGTTCAGCAATGCACATACTTATTGCCTAGATATTGGTGTCTAAATACTGTTCCATTTCTCCTTGGAGAGATGACTGATTCAAGGACTAGACTAGTAAGCATATAAGGTGAGCTTGGAGCATCTTGAAGTTCTAGAAAGGAGGTTAAAACAAAACAAAACAAAACAAAATGAGACACAAGCCAATACAAGAGCTCCCAGTAGTCAAAGCTGGAATAATTTGAACAACAAAATAAAAACCATGGTATAAATTAAAGCAAGCATGAACTAAATATATAGGTGTCTATACAAATGATTGAATTAGAGAACAAGTCCAATTAATGTATGTAAGATATTTCTATCTAGTACTAGAGGCTTAATATTATAGTCCCCTAGAGACTGAGAAGGATTTAGTAACTTGTTCTCCAAGGAGAGGTTTTGGAAAGGAGAAAAAAAAAATGTAATTTTTCAGTGGAGAAACTAGCAAACACTACCATAGTCAAATGATCAAGGTTAAATAACTAGTAATAAATTATGCTAGTATCATAAGGACTCATTGTGTATTAGTTTCAAACCTTCTAGCCATACTTTAATTTTATGAGAAAAGCATCAGATAAATTCACATCATGGGATATCTTATCTAATACTTAACCAGATGGAATTCAAACTATTATGGTCACATCACGGTCATGGAAATAAGAAAAGGTAAAGATAAATTGTCACAGATCAGAGACTAACGAGATATAACAACTGACAGCAACATGGCATCTTGGATTGGGTCCTAGAACAGAAAATAGGAGACAGTTAAAAACACATGAAGTCTAGAGTTTAATCAATGGCAATTTACCAATGCTTGGTTTTGTAGCTATATCACAGTAACATTAGGGATGTCTTACTTTTCTTATTGTTGAAACAAAATACCCAACACCCAGAAGTTAAAGTAGGTAAGGTTTATTTAGCTCACAGTTTGTAGAGGTTTCATGGGGGCCGGGGAGATGTCTCAGTGGAATAAGCGCTTCCCTGTAGAGGTTTCAGTCCATAATTTGTTGGCTCTAAGGCAGGGTGGCTTGGCAGAGGGACATCACAAAAGAGATATAGATCATGGAGGGCAAAATGTAACAAAACAAGTAAGGGATGTCTGTATCTCTTTCTATCCCTTATACCTCATTCAAATAACTTAGAATGTGTAGCACTTACACCCTTAACCTTTGAGCCCAGCATTGCATCATGAATCAATCCTAGCATCACACACTCTAGATCCAGCCACCTCTGAAAAAGCCCCACCTATGACTGGATGAGACTTTGTGGGGACATCTAGATATAAGCCATAACAAGAGGAAACTGCATAAAGGGTACACAGGAATATTTGTACTCTCTTATAACTATTCTTTTTTTTTTTTTTTTGCGGAACCAGGGATTGAACTCAGGCCCTTACGCTTGCCAGGCAAGCGCTTATTCTACTGAGCTATTTTCTTATAACTATTTTGATGAAACTAAAGTTCTTCTAAATTTTATTATAAATAAAAAGCAAAGTATCTTTTTACAATTTTATCTATTAGTTATTGTTATTGCTGTTGTTGTGTTGGGGTTTTGAGACAGGGTCTCACTACATAGTCCAGGCTGGCCTTGAACTCACTATATAGCCGAGGCTTACCTCAAACTTGAAGTCATCCTTCTGCCTCAGCCTCCCCAGTGTTGGAATTATAGGTGTGCGACACCAGCCCAGCTCTGGCTACAATTTTAAAAGTGTGGTGACTGGATGATTTCGCCCTGGATTAGCTTTGGGCTCAGCACCTTTCTAACTTTCTGTGTCCTCCACTAGCTACATACTTCCAGCATCAGGTGCCATGAGAAATGTTAATAGGCCCTTGTTTCACCGCATTAAAGTACCATACCACTTGGCTAGGAGAATTCCTACAAGTCATTCCACCATCAGGAGACCCAACAATAACCCATCACAAAGCAACCCAAGTTTTTTCTTACCCAGATCTCAAAGATTTCTAGGGCCACTCCAAAGAATCTAGGATAAAATCATGTGTGAAGGAAGAGAAGTTTGGAATGAAAAAAAGAAAAAAGATCATTCTTAACCAATTTCCTTTTGAGGGTTGGTTTCGGACATTTTCCTGTTAAAACATAGAACATAACACCTGGCCATATGAACTCAGGGCTTGGGTCTACTCTTGGGTCTTGCAAAGGGTGGTGCAAGCTTGGGGTCCTGAAGTACAAGTATTAGTTCAGCAGGAAATTCACCCCAACATATCTTAGAAAAACAAACTGACCTTTTCCAGAATTTCCACTGTCTATTTTTTCCAGCTGTTTTAACTCAGAAGCTCTTGGTCTTTCAGGAAGCTCAGACCAGATACTCCTGCCTGAAGTGTTCCCCTGAGCCACTCTGCAGGCTCAGGTGTATCTCATAGGTTCATCCCTAGTTCCTTTATGACATTTGATCACACAGGTTAAATTTGGATTTATATCTTCCTCTTACCCTGTAGGCTTGCTCAGCATGTAGCTTAAAACTTTTTTTTTTCCAATCTTTGTGCTGTCATAGTAGGCCTTCAAGACGCCCTTATTGAGTAAATGAATTATTAAGGCTCTTGGTGAAAGGGTGAAACCCTGGACAGGAAGAGCCTGGCCAGCCAGGGCAAGAACATCAAGCCCCAGGTGCCTGTCTGCTCAACAACTTCTGAAATCAACTGCAATGGGAGGTAAGAGAGACTGTCACTCTGCAATAACTTCCTGAAAGGACAAAAAGAACAATGAGGCAGGCATAGAGAAATGAATGTCTGTAATTTCAGCTCCACAGGTGGGAGGGTCAAGCCTGTGTAATGTAAGCCACAATGTCTCCAAAAACAAAGAATAAGAAATATCAATGGAGCTCACCTCCTATACATATTAATATTTCATCAATCCTATACATATTACAATACTGAATATGGTTAACTGTACATGAAATGCTCATATTTTCACAAGATTATTTAAAATCTGGATTAGCCTATTCAAATTTTAAAAATTACATGCCCCAATGAATCAAACTAAATGAATGCTGGAAATAGAGATGGAAAAAAAAAAAAAAAAAAAAAAAAAATTAAATGGAAACCTTTGTTTAGGACATCCAAAGAAGCCAGCAAAGCAGTCAGCTCACTACACCATTCTATGTGATTTCAATTCTTTGCAGTGTTAAGAATGACTTAAACTTTTTTTTTTGTCTTTGAGACAGGGTCTCACTATGCAGTTAAGTCTGGCCTTGAGCTCATTTTGTAGTCCAGGCTGGTCTGAACTCTCAATAATCCTCCTGCCTCAGCCTCCTGAGTGCTGGGATTACATGTGCCACCAGGCCTGGAGCCTGTTTTTAAATTTTTAGAAAGTGTAAACATGATTGAAAAATTTATTCTTAATATTGTCAATTCTTCAAATTGTAAACATTGCCTTCATAATGACATTTCCATCTTTTTTCAAAATTCCATAAATTGGAAAGAGAGAAAAGAGAGAAGAAGAAGACAACATCCTGCTTATTTGTCTTGGATTTGAAAACAACTTCTACGGAAAATAAAGTCTTCATCCACTCTAAGCAACCTTGTATGCCTGCTCCTAAACAGACGCGGACCCGGATGTGAGGTCCGCATAGAGAGCCGCCTGGTAAACACAAGTTCCCACGGTTTGTGACGAAAAGGGCTCAACATATCTTCTTCACACACTCGGGACTACACGCTCACCAAGAGCATAAGGTTTATACACAAAACTGAATACCAGCGGTGAGTAGCCATGATAAACTCCAGAGCACACGAAAGCACACGCCCTTTCGGGGGACACGCATGCGCACAACGACAGCGAAAGGTGGCCGCGGGAGCTCGGGTCAGTCTACTGCTTCCGCCGGCGGCTTCCCTGAGCCCGCCTCCGAGCCGGCGCAGACAGATAATTGGTCAGTGTGGTCCCGGCTCGGGGTGGGGATTGGCTGACTGGCGGCAACCTCCCGGGACAGCCTCTCTGGAAACCCGAGTACCTGGTGAGGGAGCTGGCTGCCGCGCGGCGGCGGTAAGTGGGGCTGTTGACTGGAAAAAGTTGCGGGGAGGAAAGTGGTCCCGGCTTGACTGAGGCGGGACGACGTGGTAACAGGGCAGAAGCCAAGGAGCCGGGTTGGGAATGTGGGAAGAGCGGCAGGCTCCGTGAGCTACAGGCGCGTTTGCGCTGGAGGGAACCGGGTGGCGAGGGCCCTGCTGAGCCGGAGCGTCGGCGGAGCCGGGGGAGGTCGGTGCGCGCCTCAGGCCTGGGCCCGCTCGCTGTCTCTCTCTCAGCCACCTCCTCCCCCTGCCCTCTGTGCCCCCTCCCCACCTCCCCAGTTTCCTGCTGGCCGCCTGGCTGCGGGCCCCTAGGGTGTCGCGCCCTTTCCTGGCACGGCGGGTGCGCGTCTCACCTCTCCCAGGCCGGCTTCTCCTGGCCCGGGTTTTAGTGTCTCCGTTCCTTCTTCCAGAATTTCCTGTGTATCTTCCTAACCGTGCCCAGTTGGCATCAGGTCCCAAAGAAAAGACCAGCCTTTGGCGTTTATTTTATTTGTTTATTTTTTTATAATGGAAATCTTCGTGTTATAGAGAAGTTGAGGGAATGATACGAAGAAGCCTGTAATTCAACGCGCCCTTTCAGTGATTAACAATTCATAGCTAGTCTTGCTCCCCTTTGCTGAGTAATTTTGAAGTAAACCCCGCACGTATTTAATCTCTTTTATATATTTGTGCACCTTTGTCAAGCTCAGTAAGCGTACTTTTCCCGTCATTTGCATATTTTCAGAGAGGTCGAATGGCAGTATTTACCTTTTGAATACTCCCTACTGGTCTCCAGGAGATGTCTGTCCTTTTTCTCTCACTCATTCTCTTCATCTTCACATAAAGGGTTGAGTGATAACACACACATAGTATAAACACTGCTTATTTCGTTTCTATTATAAGGTATTACTACCTTGTGCTCAAATTTTCAAAAAGCAACAAAAATAAAGGTACTGGCCCGGACTGGTGGTGTACACCTGTAATCTCAGTACTCAAGAGGCTGAGACAGGTGGATCTCAGACAATTGGAGATGAGTCTGGGCTACATAGTGGGTTCAAGACCAGCCTGAACTACCTGTTGAGACCCTGCCTCAAAAAAACCCAAAACAAAACAGTACTAAAATAAGTATTATGTTAGGGTTTTGAGTATTAATAATAGCATTGGTAATTTCTGTTTCTAGAGTGCTTTATATGAAGCACAGTAAAATTATTTCCATCCTTTCATTTCATTATTACGACATCTCTGGGAAGTAGGAGTTACTGTCATTTCACCATTGAGGGAAAAAACAAAACATTTGTGGAGGTCACACAGTTTTGGCTGAAGTTACAGTGCTGCGAAGAGTGAGGGAATTCAGTATGTTAACTGTTCTTCTTGCAGAATATTTGCTTATTTATTTATTTATTTATTTATTGTCTTTTTAAGACAGGGCTTTGATAAGGAGTTTAAGCTAGCTTTTAGCTCATTTTGTAGCCCTGGCCAGCCTAGAACTTGCAGCCATTCCTCTTGCCTCAGCCTCCCCAGTGTTGGGATTACAGGTATGTGCCACCATGTCTGGCTATATTTAGTCTTTTATTTATTTATTATTTTTTGGAGGAACTGGGGATTGAACTCAGGACCTTGCGTTTGCCAGGGAAGCGCTTTTTCCACTGAACCATCTCCCTGGCCTTTTATTTTTTATTTTTATTTTTATTTTTTTCATGCATTTAGGACAGGGTCTACAGGGTCTCAGTATGATTGGACACATAGTGATTCCCCTGTTTTCAGCCTCCCAAGTGCTGGGATTACAGATGCATGCCACCATGCCTAGTCAAGGCACATTCTGTAGGTGGGGCCGGCCACTGTATGCTGGGGATCAAACCCTGGCCGCTGTTCTCTGCCTAAGCAGGCACTGTAGTCCTCTGACCTAACAGGCCAGCCCTTTGTATTTGGTCTTTTAAGCTTAACTCAATATCCAAAAAAGTTAAATGGAGAACTTCGTGTAATATTATATCCCTTTGTCACAAATTCATAATTGGAAAGAAAAATAACCTGAAGTGTGTATGAGTATAAAATGATAATGATAGAGGTATTTCTGTTACTTTGACATAGTAAAAGATTAATATAATCTGAATTTAAAATTATGAACAAAGTATGTAAATGTAGTTTACAGTAGTTTATCACTGATAAGCTGTAGTTTATCAGTGAAGATATTTATATATAATCTTTATGACAAATATTTCATGTGTATCCCTTGTTTTCCCTGTATTGCACTGTTCCATGACAGCATCTTCGTCCAAATAGTGTTACAGGAATAAGGTTCTAGAGGGATAGAGTTTATTTAGAGGACAGCAGAGAAGAACTTTAGGATTCCTGCTGTGGGGAAGTGATTCAGAGTCAATCCTAAACGTAAGTTTAGACTTATCGTGAAGGAACTTGAATGCCAGATATAAAGAGTTTGAACTTGATGAGTAAAGAAGTGATAGATAAAAGCCATCTCATAGGAAGCTAGTAAAGTGGCACCATCAGTTCATCTGAGATGTAAAAGGATTATTGGGTTGACCTGATAAATATAAAGGAAATAGATATGGGAAATGGGTGAAACAATGAATATAAGAAAAGGTATAGAGAAAGAAGATAGCATGAAAAAGAGAAAAAAGATTGTATGGCACAGTTGGTTAGGTGTTGATAATTTTAATTTTCCGTGGGTTGGTTTTGCTTTGTAGTCACTACTCTTCCTCACCTATTCAACTTTAAAAAGTTTTTTTTATACATTTTAGATATACGTGATACCATTCATTGAAAGAAATTTGAACCTCATTTGCTGTCTCACTGCTGTTTGATATGTTAGTTAATACTGACCTGTTAAACTTTTAAAAATATTTTGATCATGTATTATTGATAGAAACAACACAGTTTACACAAAGAATAATACTGTAATCCTACTATTTTATTTTATTCTTTTGTGGTACTGGGGATCGAACTCAGGACCTTGCTCTTGACAGGCAGGCACTTACCTCCCTGGCCTGACCCTATTTAAAAATGCCTCACTAATGATGGTTTACTGGGTAGCCTAGACTATAGGTCAACAGATTGTGGCCTGAAAGCCTAAAGTGGTCTGAGGCTTTAATCTTGTAGAGATTAAGAGTGATTGCAATTTATTTATTTTGTGATTCTGGGGATTGAGCCAAGAGCCTTTGCACTGAGCTATGTTCTCAGCCCTTTGTTTATTTTTTATTTTGAGATAGGATATTGCAGGCTGGGTTGGAACTTGCCATCCTCCTGGGAATTTATTATTACCAAATTATATAAATATTTGATATAATTTGACATTAAATTATATAGCTAGATTTAACTAGCATGACTTGTAGTTAAAATGTAAAAGGTAAAATGACAAAATTAACTATACAATGTAAAAAAAAAATGTAATACTTTTTTTTGTATCAGGAATTGAACTCACAGAGTGGGCCAAATAGTGCAGCAGATTAAAGTGCCTGCAAATAGGCACAGGAGCCGGGGAGTTTGTACCCTGGCCCTGCTGTGCTGGCCCCACCCCCAGGGCACGCTGAAATGGCAATTGATACTGCATGTGGTGGCCTGTAATCCCAGTTCTTGGGAGGCTGTAAACAGGCAGATCACTACGGGTTTTATCTAGTAGTAAGACCCTGAACACCCTGTAGACCCTTCCCTAAAATACAAAACCAAAAAAATAAAAAGGAATTGAACTCATGACCTTGTGCTTGCCAGTCAGGTACTATGCCACTGAGCTATATTCGCATCCTGTAATAAATTCTTTAACATGTAAGTATATTAATATAAGTCCATGTTAACAAGATATTTTAAGGTTTTTTTCCCTCCACTACTGGTTATTGAACCCACAAGCTCTTTTCTCACCCTTTTTTTATTTTGTGATTTTGAGATAGCATCACACTAAATTGCCCAGGCTGATTTGAAACTTGCAGTCCTCATGCCTTAGCCTTCTAAAGTGCTGGTATTAAAAGTATGCATCACCACACCCAGCTTATTAGTTACTTTTCAAAGTTGATTTCTTGTATACTAATAAATACTATTTTGATATGTAATGTGTACTAGACATAGAGAGATTGGTTTCCTGAAAACTGTAAGCATCAGTTTTGTTTTTAGTCTAGTCAACTCTTACCTACTTGGGCTCAGGTAGGGAGTATAAACTATAGTTAAACATAAATAATGAAGGTCAACAGTAGACTGCATCTGTGATATACTGCTGTGGCCCTGTCATATATGTGTAGCTGACAAATTCTTATTACCTAGTGAGATCATATCCATATGACTCATCATATGGCAGTGTTAAACACTTGTAGAGTAGTGATATAAACAGACCTACTATGCTACCAGTTATATAAAAATATACTACATGTATAATACTTAATAATAAGCAACTCTATTACTGGTTTATATACTTTGTTGTATTATATTTTTTACTGTTATTTTATGTTATAGGTCTATTCATTAAAAGTTTTTTGTAAGACAGTATGTTGTTACACACATAGCAACCTGAAATTTTGAATTTTCTAAAAATAGAATTGATGTAGACCAAAATATATATTGTTTTGTGGCACTGGAGATCAAACCCGGGGTGAGCTACATCTACAGTCTTTCGTTATTTTGTTTTATTTTGAAACAGTCTGTTGAATTGCCCAGGTGGGACTGAACATGGTAGTCTCTGTCTCAGTCTCCCAAACGCTGTAATTATAGGTATGTGCCATTGCATCCAGCTTTGACTAAAACATTAAGAGCATTTAAGTAAGACAAATCACAAAAAAGAAAAAAAAAGACAAATCATAAAGCAGAGGTAAATGTCTGAACTTGAAGAATAGTAGTATAGTCTGTAAGATTTTCCCAAACTCTTTGTTGTATTGTTATGTTTGTTATTTACTTACCCGGTCCAAATTTTGAGTAACTTTTGTATTTTAATTTGATTTCATTTATTTATTTATTTTGTATTTTAGTTCAGGGTCTACAGGGTCTTACTACATAGAT